ACTAAGAGAATCCATTAATAGACAGGCACTAATAAATACTAAAATCCAAGAGAGAATTAATAATTTAACAGAATCTATAAACACTATAGTTAAATTTGCAAAAGAAAAACAGATTGACTCAGGTCGCCTTTACGAAACATTACTCGCAAGAAATAGAATTGTAATTTCAGAGCTTGAGACAATAATGTTGTCTATTACACTCGGAAAGATTCAAATAATAAACCCAGCAATTCTCGATTTGAAAGACCTAAACGAAATTTTAAATGAGCACTGTTCAATTATAACTGTAACAGATTTAATGGAATTAGCAGATTTAATTAATTATGTAAACGTTTTGTTAGATCATAAGTTTGTACACTTTATAATCAAATATCCTAATCCTAATTTAGTATGTAAAAAGATAATAATTTTTCCTGTTCAACATAATGGCACAATATTAAATTGCAATGGCGACAACAACGTTGCAGACTGTGTTAATACAATTTTACCAATTGGAAATTGCACTGCTACGCTCACTTCAACATTCTGCAAGGAGTTGCCTTCAGCGACATGCGCACAACAATTACACTCTGGAGGCATTGCACATTGTAGTACTCGTCCCAGTCCCCTTCAGTCACTAGAATTGATAGATGATGGGATCATCATACTAAATGAGGAAACGGCTACAATAAAAATGAACAGCGGAGCAGATCAAATTCTCCATGGCACGTTTTTGCTGACATTCGATGCAACATCGACTCTCATTTACATTACTGGTCATCAAGAAATTTTGAGCTTACCTTCAAAGACTAAATTTCGAAAACTTACAACACATTGACAACGTTGAGAAAAAGCTAATAACATGGCCTACGGGGTTCATCGTACTTACTATCATTCTCCTGGTCGCAGAATTCTTCCTTTCAAAAAAAATATATTAAAAATGGACAGCAAATAGGCTACAAGCCACTCTCAGAGCTGTCATTGACTCTTTAAGGAAATCCGAGGACGGCCTTCACTTTAATGAGGGAGAAGTTAACACGTCCAATCAGCAATAAGCCAATAATAAGTCAAACGTCTCAAATATCTTTTTGTGCATAAGCAAGTTCCCAACTCGATCGTTCCACAGAATAATGCTGCAACGATGTTGCAGTCAGCGAATTCCAAGAACCCTTGGGTAAGCGGTCAACGTACCATATACGAATCACATGATCCGTTGGCGAAATCGCTGTGTCAGCGAATATAGGGCAGGGCTAGCTTCATATAAGAATCTTATTGTATTTTTAGTTTTAGTTTGACTTGAACATTAATCCGGCACAGAACAAAAATACACTTGTCTTCATTTCGTAAAACTAAACAAGTGAAGACGAGAAACATTAACTTGTATATCGAATGTTCATAGCAGACGTGATGTGAGAAGTTTCTGATTACTTCAATCATCTTCAACTGAATGAAAACACAACTGCTGAAAAGCATCAAATATCAAGATGGCGTGTTTAGAATATATAGAGTACGAAGGAAAGACGGTCGAGAATCATCGCAACTAGCAAAAGTTCAGGTCGTAACTATATGGCCAATTCCCAGGCTCTTTACCATGTTAAACCTATTTATAGCATTGACCTCGTATTATTGTCCGTCCGTCTGTTCATTTGTGCGTATGAATGAAACCATTTCGCCACTTCGGAGTAAAATTTGGTGTTAAGATTCACTTGAAGCTTGAGACCTGAAATTTAGTGTTAAGATACGGCTACTAGACGAGTAGCAAATCGTGAAATACTATTGACTTGAAATTTGAAACATGTACTCATGTTGCCAACCCAAGATCACGAATTATAAGGCAAATATCACGTCCTTCAAATCATTTAAAATTGTATCTTATGGAATGAGTATTATACAGTAGGTCACGCCACTGCATAATAAGATCTATGCATATACCAAAAAAAACAGTCATAGCCGGGAAACCTAATTCTCATCGACAATGCGCATCACCTCCAAAGTAAAGCAGATAACAATTCAAACACAATTGTAATTGCACTTTTGAGAATTGAGAAGAATTCACGCATTTGAATGGATTGTGAATATGAATAATCCAAATACAGAAAAAATGTTTTATTTAATAACTTTTATTACGAAATAAATTTTAATGTAATTTTAAGCACATGATCTATATAGGCTATTGGATATGTGATATCTTAGTAAAAATGGAAACTCTTTCATATTTTGGATATAGTTGCAACTGATCTTTTTGCACATGATATTGAATTCTACTTGAGTAATTATAAATTAAGCTGTCAACTAAAACAGAAGAAATAAATTATGTGTTAATTCTAATGCTTAATCCAGTAAAGATTATAACACCTGCTTGAACATACAGTCTGCAATGAGGCATATGCCTTTAACTGCGAAATCAAAAAGTATGCGTAGAGCACCGGCCTATATAAAGGCACAACGGTTGGTATTCAAAAAAAAAAAAAAAACGAAATAATAATGAAATGATTTTCTTGTATATGAAAAATAGCGAACAACCACAAATCCATGTTACCAAATCGGACTACGCAACGCAGAACTGTTCCAAAAGCGCATTCTAAAATTTAACAAGTAAGAAAGCTCTATTCGGGGTGCCCGACTAGGAGATACCCTGATCCCAGTCCTATCTGCGTTTCTTAATGTTTACTATAGTTAGAATCGAGCAATAAGAAAAATACAAACTAAAATAAATAAAAACCGAAATTAGATCAACAAGATACGAACCAAAATTGCATACGGAAATAAAAATTCTCAACAGCTAGCGCCACCTATACTACCACCATCACTGCTTGTTCGAGAAGTTGCAAATCTCAGCTAAATTAGCAGCTGACAATTCAATCGCAATTTCGACTCTTCTAACAGAAAAGAGTACATGAATTTGAATGTATGTGTGCACATGTATAGAAAAAATGCGAGCGCTTGGTGCAGCTTGTCACGTGCTTTTTTAAATTGGCCAAACGTTTTCCTTAGTAACTTCGGTTTTACTTAATGGATTTCAATGAAATTTTCAGAATATAATCTACATATTCTATGAGAGTAGTTGACAGCTTCGTAAATATGCAAACTACTTTACTTATTGGTATACAAAAAAATGTCAAGTCTATAGCTCTCATAGATAGATGCTGAGTTCGACGCGTTCACACTTACGGACAGGCAAACTGGCGGATCAATCAACTCAGCTTACCGTCCTGATCAAGAATATATACGATACAGATTATGGGGTCTGCCACAGCTCGTTCTGCCTGTTACATACATTTTAACAAAACCATTATACCCAAATTTTCCATTTTCAATGGGATCAGAATATAAAAATAACATGAGAAGATCAATTAAAATAGATGGAACACAAATGATAAACTAATACATATTAATGTCGGACTTGAAACCCTAATAGTTGTGTCCATCATGGCACAATATTATATATATAAGAGCACAATACAATATATATAAAGGGTATTTTTTTTTGAGAGATTCACATTAACATTTTCAACACTGCTTTATTTGAAATATTTATCATTATTTTGATTTGGTGCTGTTCGAGAAACTTACTGTGTAAATAAGCAGAGTTGTTTAGAGTTAGGATAATCCCAAGCTATTGTCGAATCACGATTACAACTTTCGAAAATTACGGCTTGGTGATGATAAAACAATTTATAAATTAAAGGACATACACACAACATGCTTAAAAACAAGGAAGAGCGCTGGAGGCGGGCACAACCGACTGCAGAACACTCATTTACGGTCAACACGCTGTCAACTCTAAAACATTGGAACATATGGTTATTTTCGATCTGACACGATCCAAGAGGCATCATTTTTGGCGAGGAATAGGAGGTCAAGAGAGAGGAGGAGAGGAGGTCAACTATAACTTATTCGATCAATTTCAAATTTTAACTGTAAAGGTATAAACGATACAGTTTTTGTTGTCCCCTTAGGGGTTTCGCCATGTCCCCAAACATTCGTAAAAATTACTTTTCGGCTAAAGATTGCGCTTCTAGATCTAAAAGAATAAAAGTTACTTTATAGTCAGATTTAACTTTCCACTCACATAAACTCTAAAATTAATAAATTATATCTTGTACGTCTATGGAGCTACAAATGTAGCCAATATATGAAAGAATTTGCATTTTTACTAAACGGCCAAATATTCCAATATACTAATAATGTAGACCTTATGCTGACAATTTCATTAGAATTCGTTAAGTGACCCTGAAGTCACTAAACAAAATCTGTGACCAATTGACAAAAGCACGTATCAAGGCAAACAGCAATTAACGTGCCCATAACCCTATGCATACGTCATTTTAAATATGTATTTTTGTCCATCTTAAAAATTGATATTACGATTGAAATGTGTTTGTGTTGTTGGTTGTTACTTTAGCTAGACATACTACTTTATGTTCATTGGTAGAACCGATGTGCGTCAGGCAGAATGCACTTTTTTGGTTCGAGTCTCGTGGACTCGAAAATTAGGGTTTTCTTACTTTAAAGTTTTCTTAACTTTCATATTGCCTTATCCAATTTACTTTCATTTTACTGCCATTGTACTAAGCTGCGGGTGCGTTTTATAGCTCATAAGCAGGCTCATAGATAATAAGTAGGTTCATAAAGCCTGCACGACTTTGGAGCGGGCCACCCCTGGCGCTCGTGCCGAAATAACGGAAACATCGTCTGATCTGCTGCAACGGTAAAATCGCAGGCTTACGTGACAGCCTCTCATTGGTCAAAGCACCGTGTGTTACAAAAGCATCTATGTGAGCGAAATAGACGAACCTTGCATAAGCGCGTCGCTGTGTTAAGCGATAATATATATATATATATATATATTATCGCTTGATATATACAGCAAATATATGTACTTATTCATATTTATACATCCATGCCTACATCGCTCCTCACACTCGCCTCTTCCTTCGTGGATACACGAAGCAGTTGTGCTTACTCTTTCTTTAGATTTGGCGCCCATTTACTTACATTGCTTGCCTCTTTCTCAACAGGAATCCGCTGTTTCACAGCACTACCTGGAGATGATCGCTACAGTTTTTGGTTTTAATTTTCTTAATTTTTGGTTTCACACAACTTTTCCCTCTAACTTGCAGGGCTGTAAGTGTGCCTTTACTACTTTTTTCTCAATATATATTTTTTAAAGCCTTTATTCTATTACAGACACAAACACTCGGCAACCCGGCCATCAGTGGCGTACTCGATAACAAAGACCACTAGACTTCGAAGTGTGGCCGGCACATGTGCCATTCATTCGGGTTGTCTGCATCTACCTGCGGCTCACCTCGTAAATGTGAGTACGCCTGCTATATAACTGGATCCATTACCTTTCCCGCCGTCACCATTATTTCACGGGAACCTATTCCAGCTCTGAATCTGAGGAGATACTTATAACATCCCCATGAGCATCGGTGGTATCGGCGGCATCGCAGGAATGTATACCTCTCGTCTTGGTATCCCAAAGCGTCGGCGGAGGGGCGACACAGCCACCAAGGATAGCAGACGAGCTCCACTCTGGCGGTCTCCATCACCCCACTCACTGACCGAATTGGCTGGTGACTAGGACCCCGACCCGGTGTCAGACTGTTACAAAATTGTGATTGTTTATATATATTGTATACTTTGAACCAATTGAAAATGGGAATTCAGTATATAATGGTTTTATAAAAATGTATGTAACAGTCAAAAGAATACATAGCAGACTCCAAAAGTATATATATATAATATAAGTAGTATATAAAACGTCGAGTAGACTGTCTATCCGTCCGTATGAATGCAGCCCATCCCATCTGCCTTTAATTATTTTACATTCCATTGAATAAACGAAAAGTTGCAAATCTTAAGAAAAGTGCTAGCTGACAATTTAAAAATTCATGAAAATAAATAACAAATTTGGAAAAATTTGGAAACCATATCCAAAATATAACAAGAATCAAAATTACATAAAGTAAACATAAAACTAAATGCAAAATTTAAAAACTAGCTCCAAAGCTAACTTTCATACCTAAATGTCCATAACGTTTTTAATCAACCACATTAAAACTGAAATATTTATTAATTATTTACAACAATACAACAATCTGCATGCTCTAAAGGCAGCCCTATACAAATTTCACATTTCATGGTATTATAGATCGACTTTTACGTCGACCTGATCAAGAAAATATATACTTCATGGGGTCTGTATAGCTTGCTTCGAGCTGTTACGACCATCAATATAATTAAAATACCAATTACATAAACCATAAGATATTGTTACTCAACAAAAAATATTGAAAATTATAATCAGTATATCTGACTAACGAGCTTGTAAGTTTTTTTTGTATTTTTTTTTTACTTTTATTTCTGGAGATAACACTGATCTGGCACTCGATCTTGCGATTGAAGAAACCCGGTGCAACCCAACGCAGGTTAATAAAAATGAATAAAATAAATTTCAAGTAACAAATATAATATAAAATAATATAATACATTTCTATCTTCGATTCCATAAAGTTATAGATTGAGAATAAAGCTCAAGACTTAAAATAACTTTTTAAATTAAATTATCAAAAGAAACTTTTAACTTTATATAAGAATACAATTACTTCAAGAATAGATTCAGGTATCCAGTTTCTTATGATGAATAAAAAGTTGGTTCTTCAAAATGATGACTAGTGCAGCTTGTGGCTACCAGGATTGGCAATACTCCTATACCTTGGATGTGTTTAACAATATCTATTGGATCAATTACCCCATTTGCAAAAATGTTATATACGAATTCAGTAATACTTCTACTATTAGTCTTATTCCCAGACCAATCCGAATCAACAACAACATAAGAATTCTATTAATATTTATAGTATTGTTAAATGTCAATTTCTAATGAACAATACCTTTTAGGTACCTTAGAACACGACTAACATTGACAGAGTTCGTTATTTTTGTTATTTTCGAATCAAGTTAGAATGATTATTGATGTACTTAAGTCGATACTCCTGAGTCCAAATGCGCATACTATAGTTTGCTTGGGATGGGTGTACTAAATCAGAACCTTCCTTATAACAATATTTCAGAACATTGTTACATTTTATACCAATAAAGAATCAAATATCCTGGAAGTCAGACATTTGCTATATTCTTACTTAATCATCATCAAACCTTTAGAAACTATTATGTAAATTTAATCTTTGAAAGTTCCATTGAAAAGGCGGATTTTGCATCCATTTGATAAACTAGTAAGTCATATGGTCTTGACAGTGCTGAAATTTGAAATTCGTGCAACTGGTGCCAGCGTGTCATTATAATCTGTCATATATTCCCGAGTGAAACCCTTCGCATCAAGACTTCCTTTATACTTTAATATATATATATACTAAGCATCCACTTGCAATCTACTATCTTTTTGATTCAGCCTTCAAAACTGAACAAGTATTTTTTGAAAATGATAGTTAAGCTCACCTATTACTTTCACGAAATTAAAATTCGTCAAAAATATTAAAATTGTCATTTAATCATATTTGCATTCATTATTGTTATCGATTTTCAAAAACTACGAATAATAAAAACCTGAATCAAATTATATGGACTGGACCAAGAGTTGTTATAATATTGAAATGGAGCATTATGTATTATGGTATGGGAGTTAGAAGTATTAGAATTTCCCACTATTGTATAGAAAAATTCTTCAAGTAAAAAATTAAGGAACAGCAAACATTCACATCTCTGGTACTACATCAGATTCATATTCAGTACCTAAATTTATTTTAAATATAGCCAACAATAATAAAAAAACAATTAAATAAAAATTTTTAATTTTTTTGACATGCACGATCTTATGATGGGAGTGGAATCTAAGCAAAACTGTAGAGAAATGTTAACATATTTAACGTTGTAGAATTCAATCTCAAGCAATTGATTTCGAGCAGCAAATCAGTAATTATAGAAAAACAAGTAAATCTGAGGAAAATAATGCAATAGCAACTGAAGAAAATAAATTAGTAACAGCTTCAAGGCTTCAGTGGAAACCCCTTCAAAATGAATTGAAATCCAGTATTGAAGCAATAATCTCAAAACAATAACTTTACAAGACTAGAAGATATCGTAATCCTAGTCCTATATCACTTCTTAATATTTTCCAAAATTGGAAAACTCTAGTCGGGTTTTTTCGCCGCCAGGCTCGAATCCAGGGATTACCCGCTTGCGAGAGCCGCCTCTACTAACACCGCCACCGCACTGCTTGTAAACGGAGTTGCAAATTGAACTTAAGTAGCAGCCGATAATGCAAGTACAAGTATTCTTAGAATAAAAAAGAATACTCATATTTGAATGCATATGTGCACATGTATAGGAAAAATGCGGCGAAAAATTGGCGATGCTTGACGAGTGCTTTTGAAACGTTTTGTTTAATTTCTGTTTAACTTAATGAATTTTACTGAAATTTTCAGCATATGAAAGGCCTTCCCATAATGACCCTATCTCCAAATTTTAAGAATTAGATAACATAAGCATAAAGCTAAATACAAAATTTTAAGGCTCTAGCTGTTAAGGTGTACGAGATAAAATTTATTAACTGCATTTCAATCATGTTTTTATTCGATAAGAATTAAATGGGATTAGCTATCGAATATATGAAACAAACTTGATATGCCCGTGCTATACACCGACCTGCTCAGATAGATGCGTTCACACATATGGACAGACGGACAGGGCTCAATCGACTCGGTTTGTAGTCTTGATCAAGGATATATATACTTGATGGGGTCTGCCACGCCTCCTTCTGCCTGTTACATACATTTGCATAAAACCATTATACTCCGATTTCCCATTTTCAATAGGATCAGCGTATACAAACATATATATATATAATGCACACGAATAGGAAAAATGTGTACGCTTGGCGCTGGCTGCCATGTGCTTTTGCAAATTGGCCAAACATTTTGAATAATAACTTCGGTTTTACCTAATGGATTTTAATGAAATTTTCGGCATATGATCTACATGTACGATTGGAGAAATTAACGGCTTAGGATAAATACCAACTTCTTCACATATTGACCCTATCTCCAACTGAATTTAAATTGAATTCAACGCAAAAAACGAAATCAAATTAAATGGTATGAAAACGTTCGAACATTGTATCCATTGATTAGACAATATTATCATTGTATTTGATTTTCTTTGTATCATTTTTATTTATTTTTTTTTTAATGTGCAAGCTTTAGGAACTAATTCATCGTTAATATCTTATCTTCTATATGTCGAACTGTCGAAAAAAAAACTTATGTATGTTAGAGTATAAGAAATGATTAGCTTTCATTAAGAATTTGTTTATTTAAATAAAAGCACATTATCTAAGATAATGTTGAAGGTCCTCAAAGGATAATGCTGGATCGTTATTTTCACACCGTTCGTTTTCATCATTCAATATATATCCTTTAAATTTTGAACATTGTTTAATTCTTACATCTGACATCAAAATAAATTGGACTTTTTGGTTTGATAAGCCGAAAAATACTTCTCCCTTTGCTTTAAAATCAGCTTTTAAGGATTCATGTATAAATCCCTGTATGCAATTAAGTAGTTCTTGATGACATTTATTAGCCGTTTCCCCGAAGAATACTCCATCTAAATCATTGTCCGGAATTAATTGAAATTGAGGAACTCCAGCATTGTTAAGTATTTTACATGTAAATACACATTTTTTTCGCGGATCTCGGGGATGGGCATATATTCGTGTTGCTACATATCCAACTGGATATATCCAATGCGCCGTATGAAAATTAGGATTTGCTGCAATTATTTCACCAATTGAGTGTACTAAAATGTTATTTAATTTTAAGGGAAATATTTTCTGATTTAATGTTGGCATTTCATGGAATATATTTTCGCATCCCTTATAAACCATATCACTTTGATTTTGCTCAACGTGTTTACTAGAGTGTTCCTGAATGTGTCCAACATTTAAGTATTGATCATGCCCTACAGCACCTTTTTCAAGTCCTTCATAAAACATAAGTCTTTCTATTAGCGCTAGTCTTTCCGATCGAGCGGCGGCCAGCTCTTTTTGTAAAATGCAAACCTCATCCACAATAGATGCGTTTTCCTAAAACAACAAAATTTTTAATTATAAATATATTAGACAACATGTAACCAAGATTCAGACTTATAATACCTTACGACATTTAGAAAATGTAAAACCGACATGCCAGTTTTTCACGTTTTAGACTAAAGTTCAACCGATAGGAAACAGAAAAGTGTAATCATGGTTGCTGTTTAATTAAAAAAGAACGTAGCCATTCCTTCCAAGTACTAATTTGATTAAAATTTACTGCTATCTAATGTATTTTGTATAATTTATTACAAAACAATCATTTTTATATTTCACTACTTAATAATAATTGAATAGCAACAGCTGATATTCCAAGTTATCAAAAAAGTATGATGGCTCGTACTAATTCTGGTATGCAGCTATCTGTTTTTTAAATCGGTGACAGACCCACATACAATGGAGTCAATGACAATTCAGCCTGTTATTTTCGCAAAAACATTCCGTGAATTCCCATCTTCAACGGGATCAGGGTAAAAAATATGTATCCTGATCAGCACTTCTCATGTTCTATTTCATAATTACATAGTTTAAACTTACTAATACGTAGCTTTTAATACGCTGTTTTAACTTTTTAAAAGATTTTTTATAATCTACTTTCTTTACTTTCATGCTTAATAGTAAAAAAAATGTTTTATCAAGATGTTAATTCGGAGCGTCAAATTTTGTTGTTTACAGACAATACGTATAGATTAATAGGGTTGCAACTTTTAAAAAAATCGATAGCAAAATATTCTTTTGAAATAAAAATAAATAAATAAATCAAAATAAGATAAATCTGATCTAAAATGTCCTAACTGATCAAATTCAAAAAGCATAATTCTCAGTCTGTATTTTGCAATACAAATTAAATGGTGCATTTGCTGTTTATGCAGTATTCAGTTAACAGTTTGCGGTAATGGAAAACTCAATTGCAGCTGGTACAATTGTCGATATATACAATGTTATGCTATCAGCTATCAGCTATAACATTTGCTAATGTTAATATCGATAGTTTGTGTCATTCCTAATTCAAAGTATATCTGTAAATAAAAAATGGATCAGAGTAATAAAACACATAAATTGATTTGCAAAAATCGGAGGAAGACTGATTTGAAAAGAAAATTAACTAGAATTGACTCGCCCATAGCAAAATATCCTTTTTAAAATATTTGTATTTATATACACATGTGTACATTTATACAATAATGGACATGATTGCCAAAACCCACATCAAATAACTAAAACATTTTTATATTATATTGGTTTACTTAATTACTATTTTACATATGACTCCATAGGTAATTTATCATGTATAATATGCAGGATGCCCATCAAGCCAAATATATGGCGGGTACATCTCAACTCAAAACAACACAAGCAGAATGTTGAGCTCGCTAAACGATGCACTGAAATTGAGAATAGTTCGGAAATCTTAAACACAGCTAAATCAATAGAAATACCGCGTAAAGTCGAATGCATTTCTAATATAGATATTCAGATACAGTCCAATGATGATCAAGCGACACAAATATCTCAATATAATAAATCACAGGTATTACCTGAGAAATTCTTTGATCATGAAAACTCTGTAGCTGTCTGTGGAAGTGAACAAGATCCAGAGGCGGAATGGATAAAGTTTCAAAAGGAAATAAGAGAAGCAGCCACAATTTCGAATAATATTGTATCTGAGGAGCAGGAAAGCTTAAATATTAAACGGCATTTAAAAGAAATTGACGAACAAATTGAAAACTGGAAAAGGTTCATAAAAATAAATGATAAAAAAACAGCGCTTTCCAAAAATAAGCGTAGAGACCCAAAGGGATTTCAGTTTGACTTGGAATCCAGCTCCAGTGAAGAAGACAATGTAGATAATTTGTTAGATTGGAGAATGAAAAGTGTTCACAAATAATATAGATGACACTTTTAAACTTCTTTAAGGAAAATACCATATTAAAACATATGCGCTTAGAAAAGATAAAATATTTAATACATTTTTTATTCAATGTCAAGATGCACAACCATTATATTGTAAATAAAAGTATATTGCAAATCATTTAAATGATTTATTTTATGCTAATTAACTGTGAAAAATTTCCGTTCATGCAGCTCTTGAAACTGTCCAATCATAAGTTTCCGCTTCCCTAATTTCCACCCCAGTGCCTAACCCTATTCGACGTATTTCTTAAGGTATTCAAAAGTACTGCACACAGAGACGGTTTCAGAAAATCAATCAAATAAAAACTGTGTGTGTTTCACGCATATTAATTAAGTAGTTAATATTGTCCAACATCATACTTTAAATAATTTGTTTTTAAAGCATTACAAAATGAACAGTAATGTGTTAAGAACTATCAGTAAAAAATATTTAATGTACTGAGAATGCGATAAGAGCATTTCACAGATATATTTAAGATCTGTAAGTCTTTATATGTTTACACGGGCAAACATCTTACAAAATATTAACAAAAGCATAAAAGAAAATATATATTATTAGCATTCCTTAAATTAGATTAGATAAAACCTGCGAACCTATGAAATTTTCTTATATAACTATTTGTACAAACACCACCATATGACTTTCTATGCAAGGTAACATGTAATTCGGATTTCCCGTTTTTCAAGCGTAAGAAATAATAACAATTAAGTCGAGGATGCCCGATTCGGAGATGCCCTGACCCCGACTGATCTGTATTTTTAAATATACTCCATAGCTTGTATATATAGCATGCTTTTAAAATAAATAAAAAAGGAAAGAAAACGACGATGAGCATCGTGTTTATTAACACAGCTGCTTCACTGCTTGATCATACAATGACAAATTTAATTTAAATTAAAGTATTTAGTAAAGTACTTCTTAGATACAGCACTATATTTGAATAAAGTGGAATCTACATATTCTATTAGAATATTTGCTAGCTTTAAAAAAATATAAAAATATTGGCTACATTTGAAACTGAACCTCAAAGAGTTTGGAGTTGAAGCCGATATTCAAAATATAAAATACACCAAATTGTATAAAATTAAAAATTAAATTAATTGAAATTACATGAAACTAAAAATGCTAAATTTGGAGACTTTTCCTTAAAAGATGTATCAATTTAAAAAGGGATTTTGTCTACAAATTTTAATATTATTATTCTATATTTTCCATTTATTTTATTTTTTAAAATGATCTAAAGATATATTCTGAATAGTGTGTATTTTTTAGCGGAATACCTGTCTTTTTATTACAGACTACAAAATACTCAAACCCTACAAATTACTCGATAACAATATTATGGGTAATAGTTACTTTGTAATCGCCGGTATATTTCAGGCTACGTGTCTTAGTTGTTTTTCGTTGATAGTAAAGGGTGTGTAAAACCACACATTTAAAATGAACCGGGGATCAAAAATATTAAATAGTAAGGTTGCAGGTTACAGCAGTCTTATAACATTTGCTGTCTTACTAATTGCTTGGATAGCCGGATTTTCATCCCGTTTATTTGCCGTCATAAGATTTGAATCGATAATACACGAATTTGATCCATGGTTCAATTACCGAGCAACTGCCTACATGGTGCAACATGGCTGGTATAAATTTCTTAATTGGTTTGATGAACGTGCCTGGTATCCTCTCGGTCGCATCGTTGGTGGCACTGTATACCCTGGACTAATGATAACATCTGGTGGCATCCATTACGTTTTACACATACTGAATATTCCCGTACATATACGTGACATATGTGTTTTTTTGGCACCGGTTTTCAGTGGCCTCACATCCATTTCAACGTATCTACTAACAAAGGAGCTTTGGTCGCCCGGCGCTGGATTATTTGCTGCGAGCTTTATCGCTATAGTACCCGGTTATATTAGCCGCTCTGTAGCAGGCTCTTATGACAATGAAGGCATTGCAATATTTGCTCTACAGTTCACATACTTCTTATGGGTACGATCTATTAAGACTGGATCCGTATTTTGGTCAGCTGGCGCAGCGATATCATATTTTTATATGGTTTCAGCTTGGGGTGGATATGTGTTTATAATCAACTTGATCCCGTTGCATGTTTTTGTGCTCCTCATAATGGGTCGCTACTCTCCGCGACTTCTCACAAGCTACAGCACATTCTACATTCTCGGACTGCTATTCTCCATGCAAATACCTTTTGTTGGATTCCAGCCAATTCGCACAAGTGAACATATGGCTGCAATGGGCGTCTTTGTGCTACTGATGGCTGTTGCTACCCTGCGACACTTGCAAACAGTATTATCAAGAAATGAGTTCAAGAAATTGTTCATTGTTGGCGGATTGCTGGCAGCCGTCGTAGTTTTCGTCGCCGTCGTTGTGTTAACAATGATGGGTGTTGTTGCTCCATGGAGTGGACGATTTTATTCACTTTGGGATACTGGCTATGCTAAAATTCATATTCCCATTATTGCTTCTGTGTCGGAACATCAGCCCACCACATGGTTTTCCTTCTTCTTTGATCTGCATATTCTCGTCTGCGCATTTCCCGTTGGCCTTTGGTATTGCGTAAAGCAGGTTAATGACGAACGCGTTTTTGTGATACTATACGCTATAAGCGCTGTCTACTTCGCCGGTGTGATGGTTCGATTGATGTTAACCCTAACCCCTGTAGTGTGTATGCTTGCTGGTGTTGCATTTTCCGGCTTATTGGATGTGTTCCTTCAAGAAGACTCATCGAAACGATTGGCGAATACTGTTAACTCTGTACAAGAAATTGATGATCAGGAGGAATCATTAGAAAGGAAAAGCTTATATGATAAGGTAAATAAACATTAATAGCAATAAGTTAACTACTAATTATTCATTAATAGTCAATCGCATATGTTTTGAATTGAAAATTTATTTTTTTTTTCAATTTGTTTTATCATGAATTATATTTTCTCATCGTTCAATATATTTCGCTTAACTATTAAGATAAGGTTATAATGAAATTTGTAGGCTAACATATTTTGAATTTGTATATATATATATATTTTATAACGTAATATTAAATCAATTTAATATTTACAGGCCGGAAAGTTAAGGCACCGTACCAAGCACGATTCCACCCACGAGAATGGCATAAGCTCAAATTTAAAGAGTATCGTAATTTTGGCGGTTTTAATGATACTAATGATGTTCGCTGTACATTGTACATGGGTAACAAGTAATGCCTATTCAAGCCCGTCTATTGTACTTGCTTTCCATAATAGCCAGGATGGGTAGGTGCAAATTTTATTTTTATTTTATATATATAACAGCACATTTTGAATAGGTTTTTCAAGAATTTGGTGCTAAAGTCATGTCCTTAAATACTATTTTTAATTTTTTTCGTTATTTGAAAATAGTGCAGGGAAATAAATATAGTCAGTGTACATTCCGATCAATAATCTATATCAAAATAGTTTTTAAACTATTTTTTTAAATATCAAGTGAAAATATCGATCAAGAAATTGAAGATATCGATAAAAATAACATTTACTTTTCTGTGTATAGTTTATGATAGTATATATTTCAAATTCAAATTTTCTAGTTTGGTAGTAGCCTAGTAATTGGTTTATGCACGAAAAAGCTCGTTTCCCATGAGTAGGTCCAATTTGCTTAAAGTCGTTAGTCTTTTTTTTTTTATTAAGCTTATCAAATTGGAGATTGGAATTGGCAAATCAAATCAAACAAGTAAGAAAGCTGGATTGAGGAACAAAACGCTGAATTTATTATATAAAATACCCCAATAAATAAGTTATTTTAGTCTGTGTGTAGAAGAAACAGCAATTTATCTATCAAATTTTGGAGCCTTACCAATAAAAATATGGAACAGACGTATATACTATACTCATTTATTTAAGGACTGTTAATACGGTTACATATTCAAATTAAAAATTTCTAGTAAAAAAACTCAAAGGAAATGACTAAATAATATATATAAAACATTTACATATTCAAATTAAAAATTTCTAGTAGAAAAATCAAAGGAAATGACTAAATAATGTATAAAAAAAATTGAATTCGAAGTTACAAATATTTACAGTTATTATATAAAAAAAACTTACTACGAAGTTACAAATATCAACAATTATTTATTCCAAAATTAACGGACAACACGAAACACATTGTATAAAAACACACTCTTTTCACTTTGTAATCGAGTTATAATTTATATATGGGCTCAGTGACATGCTTTTACTCAAAATTTTATTTTTGGACTTTAAAAATTCATATATAAAATAGTGTAAATATATTAATTTTTATTTATTTCTATAATTTTAGGTCACGAAACATATTAGACGACTTTAGAGAAGCGTATTACTGGCTCTCTCAAAATACAGCAGATGACGCTCGCATAATGTCGTGGTGGGATTATGGTTACCAAATTGCTGGGATGGCTAACAGAACAACGTTAGTCGATAATAATACGTGGAATAATAGTCATATAGCCTTAGTAGGCAAAGCAATGTCATCAACTGAAGAAAAATCCTATGAAATCATGACATCTCTAGACGTGGACTATGTTCTAGTAATATTTGGAGGTGTGATTGGATATTCTGGTGATGATATAAATAAATTCCTTTGGATGGTCCGTATTGCGGAAGGAGAGCATCCAAAAGATATCAAGGAAAGCGATTTCTTTACGGATCGTGGTGAATTCAGAGTAGATGCCGAGGGTGCTCCGGCTTTGCTGAATTGTCTGATGTACAAATTGAGCTACTATCGTTTTGGGGAATTAAAATTGGACTACAGGTAAAAATAGTGTATTTTATGTATTGCATTTTTTTTTTCAAAATATATTACTTAATAATTAATTATGCTATAGTCGGGGTGACCGACTAGAACCCAGTCCTATCTGCGTTTTTATATATTTTGCATGGCATGTATCTAGCATAAAAAAAAAAAATAAAAACAAAAATCGGCATTAGGAGACCAAACAAAAAAAGTCCCTTCGCTCCCTGGCATTGAGCCCAGAACCACTCGACGAAGAGTTGTATTAAAATATAATAGTTTAAAATATGTATATGATATGCTTTTTTTGTAACCCAAGA